AGAACATTATCTGTGTGTCTTGCTTAACTTACAAGCGAAGATAATTACAAGTACAACTCAGGACAGCTGTGACAATTTAAACTATCTACGACTGTATCAAAGGTAACATGACGTGAGATGACCCTATATCTCACTCAGCTGTATCAAAGGTGAGATGACCCTATATCTCACTCAGCTGTATCAAAGGTAACATGACGTGAGATGACCCTATATCTCACTCAGCTGCATCAAAGGTGACATGACGTGAGATAACCCTATATCTCACTCAGCTGCATCAAAGGTGACATGACGTGAGATGACTCTATATCTCACTCGGCTGCATCAAAGGTACCAGCGACTAACCTACACTCGTTCAGGCAAGTGTTAACAAGTGAGATAGTTTGGTATCTTACCACAGCTAAAACAATATAGACAACCCAGGTATACAGTTCACCATGTATATAGACAACACAGGTATACAGTTTAGTATATATTGTGGAAAATGTATAATTCCATGTAATAATTAAGAATTGTAAATAAAACCTGGTAACAATCTGCCCAGTGGAGCCTTGAAACAACTATCCTCATTTACTCAGTGAGCATTATAGAGGAACAGTCCTTTGTGTTCCTGACCTGCATCTGATAATGGCTGAACCACATCATCAAGGTCAAAAGTAAGTAATAATAAATGGCCGTTATAAACCATCAAGTGCCGTTGAGGACGTCTGTGTTGTGGCCTTCTGAATCCTGCCAAGTTAAACTTTTTAAGGAAGGTCTTCACTCCCTGCAGTAGTTTGTAACAGGTGGGTCAGACCTGCACAGTACCACACCACCGACTTAACGCCAAAATATTTATCATTGTCACCTCAGATCCACTACATTCTCACACAATAATAATTCTTGGCTTTTACACAATAAAGGCCAGAGGAGAGATGGAGTGGCAAGAGAAGGCCACCTTATAGTTGTGTGTGATCAAGACTCATTCATCAGTGGCATAAATGTTAAAGCTCACTATGGCCGAGTCAACATTAAATTAGGATTCACGTAGCGACGTCGTAATTACCAGTAATGAGCCGTTTAGGCAGTTGGTCTGTTACAACTGTACAGTATGGGAGGAAACTGTAGTATTGTACCTGCAGAAAACCTGCCATGTTTGTTAGTGAGGGTAACATCTATCCCAAAACGAGCAGTTTTAATGAAAAAGCTGTGAATTCTAGAATTTTATTCTTTGCGTTTTTTATATCATAAAATGTAGACTTTCCAATGTCGTATGTTTCCATTAGAACAGTATTGCTCACACCACATTCTAGTTTCTTAATTATTTCAAGTTTGTCACTCAATTTCAACGAGTTATTCTTTCTCTTCACACAACGAAGTTTATCTACTATAGGAGCCATTATCATGGGCTTGTACAGTACTCTGTAAATGGAAAGAGTAAGACTCAAAATAATGTTATGTTACACCGGTATTCTATTCATACTGTGCCTGATATAATGCATTCACGGAAATGTAATATTTTTGCTGAAATGGCGTACGTATCACAGTGGAAAGTTGGATAAAATCGTGACGAAAACAATGACTTTATCTTTCTTTCGTTCAAAAGATGTTACCGTAATCGCTTTTCGAATGGTTTTCAGTTACAAAACTGTTGTATTACAATAATATTCTATCCTAATTGACTTGAATAAATACTACAAAACCATATTTCTGAATATTTTCATTAAAATCCATCAAAATCATTTTCCTTGTCATCGTCTGCAGCACCAAACAGCTTCTCCTAGTCCTCTCCTTGAACGGGGCTAGAGGGTACGTGTTTTTCGAATCGTTTTCAGTTAAAAAACTATTACATCACACGGATATTTCACTTAAACTGCGCCTGAATGAATATATTCTTGGAAATAAATAGTTTTGCTGAAACGTGATGTATTTCAATGTAAAATAGGATAAAAATACATGACGAAAACAAAAGACTTTTCCTAAGCTTCCGATGTTCTTAAGATGTTACTCGTTTTTTTAATAGTTTTCGGATAAAATTCTGTTATATTACAATGATATTCTATTCATACTGTGCTTGATATAATACATTCATGAAATGTAATATTTTTGCTAAAATTACGTACAGATTACAGTGGAAAGTGGGATAAAATCGTGACGAAAACAATGACTTTCGCTTTCTTTCCTTCAAAAGATGTTACCGAAATCGCTTTTCGAATGGTTTAGTTAAAAAACTGTTGTATTACAATAATATTCCCTCCTAATTGACTTGAATAAATATTTGAATGGAAATATACAATATTTTTGTTGAAACTACCCGCGTTTCAGTGTAAAGTGTCTTAATAATAAATGGTAAACAATTTGCCTTCGGCACTCGTGTTTCAGGGACGGCGAGCCTCAGTTTATAGGACATAGAATGTTTTTACTGAAGGTTTTGCTGTTCCATTACCCTCAAAAACGTGGGTCAAACTATAAACGAGGAATATCATAAATTAACGATTTCTTGATCAAAAAATCAGGGTCGACCTATAAACGGTATGTTGTCACAGTTTGATTGCTCGTTTTAAATTGGCGACCACGTGGTCGCTTGTTGTCGCTGTGCAGCTGTGGCGCTCACGCATGCGCACATACACACAAAAGCCTGCTAAAAAAAAAAAATAAATAAATAAATAAAAAAAAAAATCAGGATTCTCGGGTGGTCCGGATTTCTGGCATCCGGATTTTTGGACTTTTACTGTAATATAATTTGCATTGCTGAAATCCTTGCAAGAGAGAGATTAATTTGAATATAAGCGTCATATATTTTGCTCAAGATATAAAAAATGTAGTACATTAGTGTACAATACTGTAGTACATTTTATAAAAAGTTTTTCAACTGCATTTTTGGGTAGATTTACATAAATTTCTTCATTTATTTTGATCCATTTACATTACGGTAACATCCTTTGAAAGAAAGAAAGCGGAAGTCATTGTTTTCGTCACGATTTTATCCCACTTTCCACTGTAATACATACGTCATTTCAGCAAAAATATTACATTTCCGTGAATGTAGTATATCAAGCACAGTATGAATAGAACATCATTGTAATATAACAGTATTTAAACTGAAAACTATTAAAAAACGAGTAACATTTCTTGAACATCGGAAGGTTAGGTAAAGTCTTTTGTTTTAGTCACGTATTTTATCCTATTTTACATTGAAATACAACACGTTTCAGCAAAACTACTATTTATTTCTGAGAATATATTCATGCAGGCGCAGTTTAGGTAAAATATACATGTGATGTAAAATTTTTTAATTTAAAACGATTCGAAAAACATGTACCCTCTAGCCCTGTTCAAGGAGAAGACTGGGAGGAGCTCTTTGGTGCTTAAGACGATGACAAGGAAATAGATTTTGATGGATTTTAATGAAAATATTCAGAAATATGGTATCGTAGTACTTATTCAAGTGAATTAGGATAGAATATTATTGTAATACAACAGTAGTGACGACGTGGAGGAGGCAGAGGCATAGAGCGGGGAGGTGCGGTGACTGGCGGCAGCAGGGACGAGTGGGGATGCCAGCCAGTACATTACGGATGTATAGTATTAATTGATTTTATAGCTCTTTTTGCATTTTAATATTAAATACTGTACATTACGTTTCAACAAAACTACTATTTATTTCTGAGAATATGGAAATGTAATATTTTTGCTGAAATGACGTACATATTACAGTGGAAAGTGGGATAAAATTGTGACGAAAACAATGACTTTCGCTTTCTTTCGTTCAAAAGATGTTACCGTAATCACTTTTCGAATGGTTTTCAGTTGTGGGATTATGAGGCTAATGATAGGATAGAATATTATGTCTGATGCATTAACGGTTTTGCTCAAAGCCATTGAAATCGATTAAGTGAAATCTTTGAATTGTGGCGAAATCATTGTTTCCATTGTGATTTCATCCCTTTCCACTTTCATAATATGTCACGTCTGGTTGTCGTAGATATTACATTTCCATATTTATTTCTGAGAATATATTCATTCAGTCACAGTTAAGGTAAAATATACTTGTGATGTAATATTTTAATGAAAATACAGTATCGTAGTTTTCTTTTGTATCAAATTTAATTAACAAAGATTGATGTTTCAAATGTAATGAACAAAAATTTATGTACAGTATCTATAAATAAACTTTAACAAATGAATACTTTGTTTTACATCGTCCTGTGTATACCATACCATGCATTTGGCTACTTTGGGCTGGTGGTGCGTTGGTGCGTCGTTTCCATTGTTTACTGGTAGTTACTGGTAAATATTTTTCAACCTAACGAAACTATTACCCTTTTAGAGGTCGACCCCCAATTTTTTGCAAAATAATTTGGTCTTAAAAACTTTCGAACCCTTTGGGAATATGTGGTAAATACCTTTTTTTGGGGAGAGCAAAAGAAACTTCTGGTTTGTGTCTCTCTTTTCTTGGCATTGTGTTGAGGCTGTTTCAGCAGCATGTGCATAAAACTAAATGATATTAATAAACATGGAAAATAAGTGTGATATTACCTGGGCCTCGGCCATATCCTGCCAAACACTGTGCCTTTAACCTCTCCGAACCTCTTCGTTTTGACGATATAATCAAAGATAGTCGTTCTTTCCTCGTGGGAGTAGTATACATCTTTTCTGTAAAAGAAAACTTATGATAATATACTTTCTTGAATATTTTTTCACACAACTAAAAGGAATATCCTTCCTTCTTTAGGCATTTGCCTCCAGGTGTAATGTTAACCTACATCTATTGAGGATGAAATCTTTCACCTACAAATTGACAATAACACATTTGCTGTAATCAGACATATCTAACAATAATACTGTAAAAACAAGTTAATGATCACCAAAAGCAACTTTTCGTCTTACCTCATAAGCTTTAAAATAATAATATATCTTGCACCAATCCCTATTGTGAAGTTTATATAATATTTGCTAGAGTATAATGATAATCAACCATACCACTATAAAGGTGCTCCTCTACTTAAGAACGTTCAACTTACAAATTTTCAGAGAAACAAATATCATCAATGAGGGGGGTTACCTGCCAGAACAGGTGTTTAATGTGGATGAGACTGGATTATTTTGAAGAAAATTCCAGATAAAACAAACATTACCTAAGAGGAGAAGAGTGAGCCAGGTTTTAAGGCTGTATTAAAGGGTATAGCTGGGCTAAATATCCATCATCTTTTCAGTTTTTACAATAAGTTTGGTATCTACAGGAGTAAAGTTGGACTTACAAACAAGCCTCAAGAACGTAACTCTTTCGCAAGTAGAGGAGCATCTGTACTTCATTTTTTTCTCAGCTGAGAAAAGATGCCCCGCCCCATGACTGTATTGCTCTAATTTTATCCAAAATTTTATTATAACATCCATATTATCTCGATATTACTACATATTAATTCACAGAAATAAACAAACATGTTGTCAGTGAAGAAGAACACTCACCTCAACCCAAGAAACAGGAAGTTTGCAGGTGTAAGTCCTGGACCCACTCTCCAGAGGATTTTTTCAAAGCACACTAAGTCTCGGTAATTTCCAGGAAGGTCACCTGCAACAAGAAAGTCTCTTTCAGAAACAGGTAATTAAACACAATTGAAATCTTAACTATAAAGTAGAAGGAGTGACGACAACTTGTTTCAGTTGCTCTCCACCCATAGCAGGAAAAGGCTGATATCATCATAATCATCTCCAACATTTCATGTCCATTTCCCACAGTTGTGTGCATTAGCCATGATTACCTGATGGCAGCTCTCTAAGCTGCATAATGTCTTTTAATAACATCATAAAGATTAACTTGTAAATGTGTCCACCAAACTTTGAGGGCTTGGAACCCTTGGAAGCTCTAAACTAGAGTGATTAGGGCTAAACTGACCATCAGCCAACTTCCCCCTAACCATGTCCCATGATCAGATGTTTGACAAAGCAAGGTTGTCCATGGTGGCTTGGAAGGTATGGAAATCACTCTCAAGGTTTCACAGCACATGAGTTACCAAATTATTTACTTGTCAGACTTTATCACTGAGCGGGAAGAAGAATCAACCCCACATAATCCACTGACCTCTTATGATGACATCAAAGGAGGAGGATGGGATCTCATTAATTCTTTTTAGGCTCTATTATCAAACAGTATTTCAGGATCTATCCTTTATAACTAGTTATCTGTCAAAAATAACTAATGAATGCTTAAGCTGTGCTGTACAAAGAGCACTCTCATGAAGAAGACCGACCACAGTTGATACAAAACTGTACCACGTATGAAAATACGGAAGTTAAAGACACACGTAATGAAAATTGAAAATGCCCGAACTGCAAAGGACATCACCGCACTTTGGCAGCACGATGTCCAGTAAGGAAGGATATCATCAAAGACATGAAGGAAAAGGAAAAATCGAACAAACATATAGAAACTGACCCAACCAAAACCTATGCTGCAATAACAAAGTTGCAAGACACTACAGATGGCACGCACGCGCCATCTATCGGACAATCCCAGAACCAGAAATTTGACACGGACAGTCCCTCGCTTAATTCAGATTTCGTCCGATATCGGGATTAAAGGGGTCCGTTTTAACGAGGGTATACCCTTCACCATACTAGCCACACCGATACATGCCCACATAATCAACGTGGCTAACACGGGAACAGTCGGAAAAACTATCAGAGAAATGTTGGCAGCGAACAACCTACCACAGGTAAACTTCCCACACAATGCCCCATCAGCAGACATTTTCAAAATAATAACCAAAAACAGTCTAGGAATCACCAGCAAAGAAAGGGAAGATAAAATAACACAACAAGAAAATTGCACAGGAGCAGAGACTGCAATGGATACAACCCACTCCCAAATAACCACAAGACCCTAGAGAACACAACCAACCAATCAGCTAAGTCAACACCAGCAAGACCACGTAGAGAGAACCCCACCGGTCAACGGCCAGCCGACGTCGGAGACAGCATAGGAATCAGGTTTTACTCAGTCAACTCCCTGTAACAAATGAGAGATTGTTAAAAGATATTAAAGAAGGAACAACCAAATACACATATGAAGAGGGACTCATAGAAACACTAATACGTGGAGGAAAAATAAGCAGCAAATACAACAAAATCGAGAACGTAGACTTATCAAAATTCAAGAAAATAAGAACAGGACTGAAGGAGAAGAGAGAGAGACTCTCCCCCGGAGAGACCCGAGCAACCGAACAACACGCATCAAGTTCATGCGACCCACGATTACGCAAAACAGAACACAGAAAATAATACAACACAACGTCCTGGCCTGGACACATACAAGAAAAACAGAACTGACAAACATATACAACAGCATAGACCCAGACATAATTCTCATAAACTCACACCGACGGAAAAACAGTGACAAAATAAAACTCTTCAACTATTACACACATCAACTGAACATACACTCATAGACAATTTCCAAACCTACTTCTTAGCAGTCGAAATCAACACAACTAAAGGCCCAATAACAATCGGAACAACATATTTATCTTGCCGACGACAAACATTCCCGACCGGCGACTTACTAAAACTAATGAGACGTAACACACCAGCATAGAGTATTTTATAGGAAACTTAAATGCGACACACACCATACTCGGACACAGAACCAGAAACCCAAGGGGGAAGATTATACACGACCTATTAGAAAACGGCAACATCACACACCTGGGCCCAGATTTCGAAACCTACATAGCTGCAGGAAGCACCGGGAAGCCGGATATGGTTTTGACCAATAGACACCACCACTTGAATTCACACATGAAACCTGGACCAACCACCACAAGCGATCACCTGCCCATAATTATCACTCTATCAACATCACCAATACAAATCCCCTCCATCCCTAGATTCTCTTTCAACAGAGCAAACTGGGAGGGTTTTAAGGCAGAACTCAACACAAACGAACAAATACATCAACATAAAAACACAGCAGACATTGACATAGCCCTGGAAACATGGTACTCTAAAGTCACCACAGCCATGGAAAATAACACCCCCAAAACAACTTACCGCACACTACCCCACGCACAATTAACACACGAACAGAAGATAATCCAGACAAGACTGAATAATATACTAGAACATACAAATACACACGGCTGGAACCAAGAAACAATAACTCTCTTCAGAAACCTAAAGGAAGAGCTGAAAGAAATATGTAAACAATCACACAACGACAAATGGAACCAGATAATCACAAACACAGAGGCCGATTATCACAACCCAAATTTTTCTGGAGTAAAATAAAAAACTAATGGGCACTAACTCCATAGATAACAGCCATCTTATAGACGACAACGGCGTAAAAGCTAGAGAATCTGTAGAAAAAGAACTGATCTTCAGAAATTTCTGGAGCAACATATATAAAATGACAGAAGAAGAAACAGAAACTATTGTAGAGTAACAGAACAGATGGTAACAACACACCTTACACTAAACACACAGAAATGGCAACCACCAAGAACAATAGACCTCAACATACTAATCAGTGCAGACACATTAACCTTGCCAATCACCACAAAGACATAAGAAACATAATAACCAGTTTTAAAAATAAAGCACCTGGACTAAGTCAGACAAACAAAACAGTCCTTCAAAACATACCCACAGATCTTTAACGCTTCACTAGCAACAGGGCACTTCCCCAGACCTATATCCTTATTAGAAACACCAGGGAAAATACTAGAAAAAATAGTCAACAGCAGACTCAGAAACTATCTAGAACAGGAAAACAAATATAACCCCAGACAACACGGATTCCGAAAGAACCGAGGCACAAACACGGCTATTGCATTAATTTGAGAATCAATAGCTAACGCCGTCAGCAATAAAAACCAGTGCAATATTGTTCTCAGAGACGTATCAAAAGCTTTTGATAAAATGTGGCTCTAATTCCACAGTGAATTTGATCGAGGGGGCTAAGTTGTTAAGTTGTGGCAGGAATGCTTTTAGGTCCTCATTACATGGCCAGAGACATAATACATCATCAACATATCTAAACCAGACTGCTGAAGGTGGTAAAATATTACTTAATAGTTTCTTTTCAACTACCACAACTTAACAACTTAGCCCCCTTGCTCAAATTCACTGTGGGATTTTTAACATTCACGGGTATCTCTCAAACCTAACACCCGCGTATGTTAAGGGCATGATCACCGACATGCACGACAGACATATCATCGAACCATCAACCGCTGTTTGGTTGTCTCCCATTGTTTTAGTCACTAAACCCAATGGTTCCAAACGCATGTGTTTAGATTTCCGAGCGGTAAACCAACATTTGAAAGTAGATATACAACCCCTTCCCAGGTTAGATGAATTAGTAGGAAAAGCTGCCAGAAATAAGTATTATGCTACTTTAGACTGGAAAGACGCAAATTATTAAAGTAATACTTAACGACAAAAGTCGAGACCTAACCCCATTTAGTGATGGAATATAACTTATGAAAGTTTATACGCTTATCTTTGGGCTTTTTTCAGCCAGTCCCGTTATTCTTTTTATTTTACCAGAGAAGTAAACCTAGTGGTAGCCCCTTTTTGCAGCGAAGAACTGGGTGAGAAACAACCTCGATGACGTGAAAGTGTGGGCTAATAATTTCACCACGTGGTGGACAGGCTGGCCAGAGTGTTTGATAGATTCGTAGAAATGGGAATCAAGTTTGTGGTGGATGTAATCCTAGACAAGGTTCTTGAAACTCCAGGGCACGAGCAGTAGATATATTCAACAAGTGGTACAAGACTTGGCGTGATAGCCAACCGGTACAGGAACAGGAGTCAGCACAAGGAACTCCTCGCCGTAGGCAGGCCGAAGCCGATCTGAGGGAAACTAGCTAGCTAGGCAAGGAGAGTTGCTAGACATTACTAGGACAATAAATGAGGTCTTCTAATTACTCGACTAGCGCGGTACAGACATAGTACATCGGGACATAGTAAATGAACATAGGCATTAGACATAAGCATAGATATCAGACATGCTATAATAATATGTAGTAATACAGACATGTGAATAAATGGTACAATGAATGGTAACGGAGTCTTGGCGTCAGGCGTGTTCCCATATCTTGGTATGTACATATCTATACAAAGTTAAACTTATTGAAGTTGTCAGTCTGGCCAACAACCAGTGAAATTTTTAGGGCATATAATGTCAGAGAAAGGCATTGAACCAGATCCAGAGAATGTCCGAGCTGTATCAGATCATAAATCTAAACCCCCAATTAATGTGAAGCAAGTTCGCCGGTTTTTAGGAATGTGTAGATTCTACTGTAAACATGTCCCCAACTTTGCCAAGATAGCTTATCCTATCACCGAACTCACTAAAGCAAATGTCACTTTCGTGTGGACTGATAAATGTCAGAGGTCCTTTGATACGTTGAAACACGCCCTCACGTCATTTCCAGTTCTCGTTAAAGCAGATGCCGATAAACCCTTTGAATTGCACAGTGATGCCAGTGACGTCTGTGTAGGAGCTTCCCTCAATCAGGTGCAGACA